GATTACTTCTAAGCGTGACGAGTGTAAAAAGGAATACAATCGTTTAAGAAAGCAACGATTGGAAGAATTCATGCGTGGGTTCAATTTAATATCTCGGAAACTCAAAGAAATGTATCAGGTATCTAAATGGCACTTTTTATCTCAACATATATTACATAAAATATAAACAAGCGTTTGTTTTTAGATGATTACTCTTGGAGGAAATGCCGAGCTTGAATGTTGCGACAGCTTGGATCCTTTTTCTGAAGGCATTATTTTTAGTGTTATGCCGCCGAAAAAGAGTTGGAAAAATATTTCGAATTTATCTGGTGGAGAAAAGGTATTTCGTGTGTTTTCCAACGTTCATTTTAATTATGCTTGACATAATGATTATTTATTTTGTCAAAATACAGACACTTAGTTCTTTGGCTTTAGTATTTGCTCTACACCAATTCAAACCTACACCTTTATATGTTATGGATGAGATTGATGCGGCCTTGGATTTTCGCAATGCGTCAATCGTCGCTAACATTATTAAAGAACGAACTAAGGATGCACAATTTATCGTTATTAGTTTACGTAATAACATGTTTGAACTAGCGGATCGTTTAGTGGGGATTTATAAAATACATGATCAGGTAAGATTCTTACGCGTAAATGACATTTTTAATGAAATACTATTAATCTTTTTATGAATAATGTTATTTTAGACAAAATCCGTTACTATTGATTCGCATGAAATTGATAAAGTATTTGGAAAATGATTTTTTTTTGGGGGTAGCTCCGTTCAATAATTATTAGTTATTAACTATGCTAAATGATATAATGTCTTCAAAAATCTTTCACATCAAATAAAAAAAGAATTTTGGGCTGACCAATAAATTATTTAATATGGGATGATTGTAAGGAAAATACGGTTTTAAGAATTTTTAAATAAATCCAATCATTTCATATAATTTTCGAGAAGATTAAACATTTACTTTTTATAGTAAAAATCAATTAGAATGTACTTATAAAATTAGAAAACATACTTAATTCAATTTTAAAATCAAATTTTTACTAATTAAATACTATATTTCTAAATGTTTCTTAATGATACTGTATATGATGTTTGTAATACGTCATAAAAATATTTGACGCTATTTACAAAAAAATTTAGAATTGAAAATATGTATAGGTTTCAGATTTAACTTTGATTCTTCAAAATCCACCGGACAAAATTTTCCTATATTTAATGAGCCATCAATATTTCGCAAAGGCTTAGTTCCTTCCATAATTTTCCAAGAATTTGATTAGGTACTCACTATCTGGACATTCATATTCAATATTTAAAATCTGCAATTGCACAAGGTAGCATATTGAAGGTTATTAAAATCTTTTAAACCACCTATTGATTCGGTGGTTGAGTATGTTTCGACGCCGACCATTAAATTGCAGTAATTGCATTTGTTGAAAGTTCACATGCACAACTATGGTTTCTATATATTGTGGTGCAGCTGACGCGAATTCGAATTGTCCCGTCGTAATTGGTTGTCTCATCATCCCGTATTTGATGTTTTTGATGTTGAGGCGAGTATATATTACATATTCGAACCTCTTTTTCTTTCGCCTTCAAGAAACCAAATCAACATGACAACTCTCGCGTTTTTTCTAATCAGTCAAGGAAAAAAATTATACCCACATTGATGTAATATTTCGAGATTTTTTTTTTTTTTTTTTTTTCGATTTGCAACTAAATTATTTCTTTGAAAAAATCTTCGGCCACATCAAGGAGTAGTAAGGTTGATAAGCTATTAATCCAGCTAGTATAATAAGCATAAAGTTATCTCCGAAGATGAATCTTCATAATCAATTCAGAACGGCAAATATTGAGAGATCTTCTTAACTCCAAATTTTCGGCAAATTTTTAATTGCGAATTAATATCTAACAAATTACAATAAATTAACACTAGCTTTAATAATTAATACCTTTCACTATAACTACGCTTCGTCTAGTTGAGTAAGCATCGACGAGTTGTAAAAACTCCTCTTAGAACTCTAATTTGTACCATAAATTGAAAACCGTTTTCGAATCGAATCTCCTAAACCTTCTGCAATTGATCCTCAAAAATAATATAAAATTTGTTTTCATATATGCTGTTTCATATGCATCTTTGATTAGCCAATACAATTGATAAACTTCGAATTTTTCCGTTTCTATTTATAATTCTTAAGTATATAGCAACGGAAGCTACGTGCACGTTCTCATAGTTCATCGCAATAATACCTTTTTTATATTTTCTGGATCGGTTGGTTGCAGTAAGTGTTGAATCAGGTTAAGAATCAATAGTTAACATATTGATTTCTTTCTAGAAATAATTACGTGATGAACGTCAGAATTTCCACTTATGCATCTGAACAATTGTCCCTTGAGCTGGTTTAACAGATATTTATCAGAGTCGAATTAGAAAAAATTGTTTTGGGTTCTAACATAAAATTTCTACAACTTTGATCTTGAAAGTTCAGCACCATCCTTTTGCAAAAGCCATTTTTGAAAATGATTCGTGAAGAAATGCGACATTAGATCCAATCACTGTGCACGTTTTATGAAGCTTTGCTAACCTTACACCAGAATCCAAATTCCGGTGTAAATTTTACGGTCTAAATGTCCAGCGTTAGATTTTGATGAAGAATTTCAATATATAATCTCTCATTAAACATTTTAATATATAAATTTTCGACGCGATAGAATATTAATCTTTCATCATTTCTAGTTGTGACTTAACCAAGAAATTACGGTGAGAAAATTGAATTTATATTTTCAAAAGAGCTGTAACTTCCGTATCAATTGAAAGCATCGTACTGGCTAGACCAATATTAGACTTGTTCTAATAGATCAGTTTTTTTTTTTTTTATAGATCTTGAAATATCAGTTGATTAGATATACGCTTCAAAAAACTATACAGCGTCAGATCCTATTTTGTGAATTTAATTTTGTCGTCAAAAGAATTCAATAATTTCGTATGATCTTTGTGTTATTTATTTGAATATTTTAAAGATGTCTTTGTTGCTTAGAATTCTGCCGTTTTCCATTCATTAGTTGTTACAAAAGAAAAAGTAGTTTCCGTCGTTATTTTCGTTTTCTATTATAACAGAAGAATGGTTTGTTTCTCTAAAACATTCTATTAGACTATTATAAGATATGTAAAGAATAGTATTACGATACTTAATTAACTTTTCTTAACATTTGATTCTACGATTATTTATTAGTTCAAGATTCTGACTAGATATTATATCTAAAAATTTCTTGAGGAATACTATAATGAAATAAAGCTGGTCTTAAAGCTATAATATCGACCAATTGACTTTTTAGCATGATTCTATAAATTAAAAAAAAAAAAAATGAGAAATTAACTTTAATTTCAATACCTTCATGTCACTCTCGTCAATACTTAATAATTTGCGAGCTCCGGACTCACAATTACCATTCCCTAGTTTTACTTTCCAAAATATAGAAGTATCAAACCTTTAAAATTGAATTCTCGTTGTATCACCTAAATCCAAAAATAAAGTGTACTCAATTTACAGATACAAAAATAACAAGATTTCTAAAAAAAAGTCCATTACGAATATTACCATTCCTGCGTTGAAATCTATTTGTTTAATCGAAATTAAGACATAGGAAAAGTAAATAATAAACAATATAAATTGTTCAGTATGGTAATTTCTACCCGTCAACACAAGAAAATTGACTATAAAAATAATTGGAAAAATTGGGCTCCAAAGAATATTTGGTGAAAGGAAAGGGTGATGTTGAAAGGTGATTATCATATGACGAATATTTTTTAATTTTATAAAATAGTATTTTAATTGCCCAAGATCGCATTTAGCAAAACTCGATGACGCGTAGTGACATTAGGCCGTGACAATGTGGCGCTATGAGTGCCGATGCCATGAATTCAAAATTTACTTCCCGCAAAATTTGGAAAAGACTGAGAAAAAAAAGGATGAAATGTTTGAACTATAAATCTTTTTTTATTTAAAATTTTTAATAAAAATCTACAAACCAACTACTCAATTATGAAACTTTACTTTATCAATCAATTTGAACAATTAGGAAAAAGAACATCTAAAAAAATTTATTTTTTACCATAATAGATGTAATTTAATTAAAAAAAACATTTGGTATCTTTGCAATAGAAAGGAAATAACTGTCAGAAAAAATCAATTTATTTTTATATATCAAATACGATTTTTAGATCGAAGTTACATTCTTCTTTCTATTATATGTGCACTGTAGAAGAATTACGATTTAATTAATAACTAATTAAATTAAGAAATTTTTGATGTAAATTTTGCCTATTTTACTCAGTTATATTATGTAATCATAATATTACAATCTTTAAGATACAGTTACACATATCTTAGTATCATTCAAAAAATCGCGCTCTCTTTCTTCTTAATGGCGGAATCAGGATCAATTTTACCACATCATAACGTTATTATTCCACTTTCTTTGTCATCAGAACAAGATAGGTTACATAATAATTCTTCTATTCGTTCGCAAAAAATTGATGGCGAGCGTAAAGAAATTAAACAAACCGCTGTTAAAGCTTTACATCAAAATTCTATATTAGCTATGCATGCGATTGCAAGTGGTGATGTAAGCCTAAGATTTTTTTTTCATAATTTGCAGTTGAAACAGACTATCTATAACAAGAGTAATATTTTATAAAATAGTCACCTGCTAGAACTAGATTACGGATGTTACGTTATTTAACAAGTTTACCACAAAGCGAATCTTTGGGTATGTCACCTTATTTATATATTACACATTTCATTTTGTAAATCTTATAAATAACCTATTTCTATTTCTTTAATTAGATAGATGACTAAATTAATTAATTAAAGTTTTATAAATAATCTATATAAATAATCAATAAACGCGTGTAATTAGTATTAAAGCTTAAGCTATATTATTTATTATAATCTTTTTAAAAAAAAATTTTTTTTTTTTCAATTTTTAACAAGTTTTTTAAAAATCACGTAACGACATTCCAGCCCCGAATTTCAGGGACAGCCACCTTCTTTCCCTTAAATTCTACTATTCCTCGGACCTTTTTATCACCAGAGATTATAGCAACTGGTATAGCACTAGGTTGACCCGTGCTCAACGCTGCCTTCTGTTTATCGTTTTTTGGGTCTATTGGTGTGATCCTTTCATCGCATAACGGACATTTATATTTGGTTTCAGTATTCTCAACTAATTCTTGATATTTTTCTGGCGTGATTTCATCATCACACTTTATGTGAATCCATCTGTCACATACATCACAGCATATCATTTCTTTATCATCTTCATTCTCTTCTCCATCCTCCGAATAAGTTTTCAGACACATTGGACAAAATCTATCCTCAAAAAAGTTGAAATGGCATTTGTTACAAATCGTCGCCAGAAATATTGGATATCCAGTTGATTCAGATTTTGTCTCTGAATGATTATAATTTTTGGCGGCATCATTCAATGAGATAGCCTTTTCACCACATGAGTTGCATTGAGCACATAATGGACACAACCATGGACCTAAATAAAATAAAATTTGTGTCGTTATTAGAATCAAATTTGAATAATAAATACAATACTAATAGATCAATTTTTACCTTGGGGAACTTCAGTAACTTTTGGATCACAACAACCAAGGTGCCAACCACGATCACAGTCATCGCAGATTAAAAGTGTCGAATCGTCTTCAGTGGAATGACAAATAACGCAATTTTTGCAATCATGACATAACCAAGGGTATCCTTCCATCGCAATGATAAGTCTTGGAGTTGTAAGACCTAAACAAAATGGATGATACTGTTTTAAGCAATTTGCGCATTTTGTCTTGTATTCCATTGAACATGACGCTCCGACATTTTGAGGTACAGCAGAATCAGGAGCGGTAACTGAAAAGCATTTTGCGCAAATATCATCATGGAGAATAGGTAATGGTTGAGCCGCACTTGAACTTGATGCAACAGCAGGACTTGACATGATACTATCATTCATTGACTATTGATGAATTGAATTAGATATTGTTAATAATATTTTGATTATAATTTAATGAATCTAACCTGAATTAGAGCTGAATCTATCATATCAGGAATAGTTCTTGATAGGATGGTCCCGTCCGGGGTTACCTCAACATCTACGTGTCCTTTATGGAACATGCACTTATCTCCTTCAGAAGACACTCCGCGTTTACAGGGTTGTCCGGTTGTAGAAGTCAATATACCACAAATAAATTGGGGAGGCGCCTTTCCTGGCGTATACTGGATATTATCATCCTCCTGTGAAAAAAAAAAAAAAATTAAATTCACACGTCTACAATATTATAAAATATAAATAATATACAAGATTATCGTCACGACTGAAGAACATTGACGTACTATTTCATCAGGAAAATAGTAACATTGTTCATATGGAGTATCATCTGCAGGAGGTGACGCGAAAATTGATGGTGGTGGGGTAGATACTTGATAAGAAGAATGTTTTAGAACTCTGGGAAGATCCTGGCCAAATCTTGTACGATGTCTAAATGCATTAATAAAATGTAATTAATTTATAGAAAGCAAACATATTAAAGTATTCATTTTTCTAAACACAATGACAATTACATTGGATATCTAAATTGGAATTGACCATCCATTAATGCTATAGGATACTTATCATCAGGAACTTGTCTTGTTGCTTCCTCCTTTTCCATATTATCAACAACCTGTCGAATCTCAGGAGGTAAAACTTCCAGGACTTCTGCACTTAGCGTGCTAAGAGGATTTCTAGGAACCGTCGCAAAATGAATCTCTGGGTCCTTCGTTGCTATTATTATATCACTCGAGAGTGGTAATCCTGTTGGTTGCGATAAAGATTCAACCCATATGCGCGTAGGTTGAGTTGCTTGAGGTATTTGCTCAATATCAGTATGAGGATCATAAAATCTTGGCTTTTCTCTCCTATGAATTTTCAAACGTGTATTATAATCTCTTGAAGACAAAGCCGTTTGATACATCCAATTCGTCTTATTGATAATTTTACGTGGCTTTGAACCCAAATACACTCGTCGTGAAAGAATATTACTTGTACTATCTACTCCTGATGCTTCTTCTCCTTTATCACTCAGATCATCATCATTAAATCTGATTGAGGATTCATAATAATCATCTCTCCTCTTTTTCCCTCCTACAATAAGTTTTGACCCAAATAACTTGTATGTAGATCTGGCTGATACGAGCGTAATCGCTCTGCTTCTAAAATTTGATGGTAAAAATCCGTGTGTGATAAGGTAATCACGTTCTTGATTCGTTGCATGTATTCTTTTCAAAGTTGGGTTTCGCAAAAAAAATAGATAACTGTCACGAAAACCCAAAAGTTTTGCAGGATCCATAGATAACATGTACCAGGTGTTTCCTCGCGATGGCAATTGAAAAACTGATACTTTAAATTTACGACCACCTAATAAATCACCATCTTTTGTAATTTTCATTTCTCCTTTTTCATCTATTGTACCATCATCTTCATCTCCTTCAAAATCATCAATATCCATTGGTTGTGTTGTCAGTTCACCAACCTTTTGATGAGTTCTAACAAAAGCACCATCTGTTTGCTTATAATATAATGTAGAATCGTTGTCATCATCATTGATCGATGTTTCATCGTCTGATTTCTTTCGACGTTTTGTATCAACATCATCTTTTGTTTTCTTTCTACGTTTCGTTATACCATCGTCATCTGCTTTCTTTTTACGTTTTGAGCTAGGAGGTGTGCTGGTAACAGATTCTGGATACTTACGCGGTCTACCAGGTCCACGTTTTACTGGGGTGGTAACTAAGTCAATCGGCTGTGAAAGTGGTGTAGGTGGTGAAGGTGTTGAAGGCTCAGGATTAACAGTATAACGTATTCTTAACCTTCCCATTCTGACAGTTGGTTGTGGTGTTTGTTGATTTTCTTGAGATGGTTGGTCAATATCTGAATCTGTAGTTAACGAACCTTCTCGAGTTTCTGTAATAGTTTGTGGAGTTTCTACTTGCTCCTCTTCATTAGGTGTACTTTCTGATACGGGAGCTTGTTTTTTACCTTTTCGTGCAGCAGAACGTGTTTGTCTTGGAATAGGAGCAGGATTAGAACGCGTACTGCGTTTTGGATTTTCTCTTACTACATTATGTAAATTAGAGGTCATCACATATGGTTAGAAATATAACGCGAAAGAAAAAAAGTTGCATGAATTTTAAACAAATTTTTTTCACACAACTTGACCATAACCTTGTCATAAAAATTTTAATAAGTACAAACCTCTTTGAGGCATTTTATAGGCTGTAAAGAGGCACTGCTTTGTAAAATGTGGAAAGAAATTTTAAAACGTACGTAAGTCACGTGATAATACTAAAAAGATATGATTGGTTCTCATTATTTTACGTTCTTTTTTTTTTTTTTTTTTTCGATAATCTTATCAAAAAAAAAAAAAAAAAAAAAAAAATTTATTATGATTTTTATAATAATCACATTAAGTATAAGAAAATGGTCTGTTTACTATCATATAGAAAGTCTTTTAGACTATTTGATAGAAAATTCAGTTTATTAGCGAGGTCTTTGAATAATAAAACAGTGTTTAATGTAAGACGTTATGTTAGTGTTGTTTCTGTGAATACAGACCTTTCGCAAAATGTAAACTCCGCTGAAATAGTAAGTAATTTGTAATTTAATATTTGGATATTTACTTTTATTTTTGTCTGTCATTGAAATTTTTTTTTTAATTTAGAACCGACTTCAAAGACTTCGTAATATAGGTATAAGTGCACATATTGACTCAGGAAAAACAACATTAACTGAGCGCGTTCTTTATTATACTGGAAGAATAAAGTAAAAACTATTATTCATTAACGATATTTCAGATATTGAAATTTGATCAATTACGTTTTATTAATTTATTATCATTTTTTTTTTATGAATAAGAGCAATACATGAGGTTCGAGGAAAAGATGGTGAAGGAGCCAAAATGGATAGCATGGAATTAGAAAGAGAGCGAGGTATTACAATCCAATCTGCTGCGACTTATTGTAATTGGAAATGGCAAGATCATGGAAATTATAATATCAATATTATTGACACTCCAGGTTATAGAAGAAACAAAAGAATTCATTATAAAATTCTTTTTTTTTTCTGATTGATTTGAACTTTTTTTACTTTTTTTAATAGGACATGTTGACTTTACTATTGAGGTTGAACGTGCACTAAGGGTTCTTGATGGTGCTGTTTTAGTTTTATGTGGTGTCGCTGGTGTTCAAGTAAGCGTTGTTATGTTATGTAATATATATATATATATATATATATCAAATATAACTTACAAGACTATTTTATGTAATTTAAAGAGTCAAACCATTACCGTCGACCGTCAAATGCGTCGATATAGTGTCCCTCGCATATCATTTATTAATAAATTAGATCGGTTAGTCTACGTTATATGATATTATAACTTTGTAATTTATTTTTTGAACTTTTAAATTCTTTACAGTGTTGGTGCAAATCCATTCAATATAATTGAACAAATTCGACAAAAATTGAGAATAACCGCGGCTGCTGTACAAATTCCGATAGGGCTCGAAGACAACTTAAAAGGTGTTGTCGATTTAGTAAAATGGAAAGCTATTTATAATGAAGGAAATCGAGGGTAAAGAAAATAAAAAAAGAGCTCCTTTAATTAAATTTAATTTTCAAAAATAGATAACATGAATTAATTAAATAGTGAAAAGGTGGTTGAAAAAGAAATTCCAGAAGATTTGATAGAATTTTCTATGAAAAAACGTCAAGAATTAATTGAAACTCTTGCAGATATAGATGATCAAATTGCAGAAATTTATCTAAATGAAGAGAATCCTACTTCACAGCAATTAATGGTACATTGAAAACTTTATGATGAATGTCTTATTTGTTATTTAATTTTTCTCTGATTTAATTTTTGTATAATTGAGATTTAGGACGCAATAAGACGCGTGACAATCACAAACAAGTTTACACCTGTTTTAATGGGATCAGCATTTAAGAATACTGGGGTACAACGCGTTTTAGATGCCGTGTGTGCCTATCTTCCTAATCCTTCTGAAGTGGAAAATAGTGCTTTAGATATAAGTCGTAAAGAAGCCGTTGTTCCTCTTATTCCTTATTCGATAAATCCTTTTGTAGGCTTAGCTTTTAAATTGGAAGATGGGAGATTTGGTCAATTAACATATATAAGAGTTTATCAAGGATCTTTAAAAAAAGGTGCTACAGTAACTAATACAAAGACTTTAAAGAAAGTTAAGATTCCAAGGCTTGTTCGTATGCATTCTAATGAAATGGAGGTACATATCAATCTTATAAAAGAAAATTTATCCTTTTATTTTATCTAAATGAATATATATAATATAGGATGTAAATGAAGTAGGAGCAGGAGAAATATGTGCAATGTTTGGAGTTGAATGTTCTTCTGGTGATACATTTACTGATGGCACGCTTGCTTATACAATGGTAAGTTAAATACTAAAAAATAAAATATCCATTATTATTTTATTTATATTTAATCTAACCAGATATTATATATATTAGACATCAATGTTTGTTCCAGACCCTGTGATCTCATTAGCAATTAAGCCTAAAGTCAAAGATGCTCCAAATTTTTCAAAGGCATTAAATAAGTTTCAGCGCGAAGATCCAACATTCCGTGTAACATATGATCTAGAAAGCAAAGAAACTATTATATCAGGAATGGGAGAATTGCATTTAGACATTTATATTGAACGTATGAGAAGAGAATATAATGTTGATTGTATAACTGGTAAACCACAAGTGGCCTTTAGAGAAACTATAACATCCAAGTCCAAATTTGATTATACTCATAAAAAACAAACCGGTGGTGCTGGACAATATGGTAAAGTTGTTGGATATATCGAACCTTTGCCTATTGTTGAAAATGATGAAGAACAATTGCCTAGCTTTGAAAATCGTGTTGTTGGTGGTCATATTCCAACTCAATTTATACCAGCTGTCGAAAAGGTATATGATTCATAAAGGTTGAGGGAGAAAGAAATTGCAATATAGTTTATTTATTTTTAATGTACATTTTTTTTTTTTTTAGGGATTTTATGATGCCTTAGAAAAAGGTGGATTAATTGGACATCCAGTAAAAGATGTTCGATTCGTTCTTTTAGATGGCCAACATCACGCAGTAGATTCTTCCGAATACGCTTTTCGTTTAGCAGCACAATATGCATTTCGCGAAGCTTTTTTAAAAGCAAATCCTGTTATATTAGAACCTATAATGAATGTATCGGTAACATCGCCAATAGAATTTCAAGGAACCGTTATTGGAAATTTAAATAAACGAAAAGGAACTATTTTAGATACTGATGTACATGAAGATTATTTTGTAGTAACTGCTGAAGTTTCTTTAAATAATATGTTTGGTTATTCTAGCGATTTAAGGAGTGCTACACAGGTATGATTATAAATATACGTATATATTTTTATTTTTAATATTTATTGATCTTTTCATTTATTTAAAAATTGATGTATTTTCTTTTTTTATATTTACAGGGTAAAGGTGAATTTACTATGGAATATAAAACTCATCAGATGGTTTTACCATACGTACAAGAAGAATTAATTGATGAATATAAGAAAAGAAGAGCTGCTGAAAAAAAATAATCTAATTTAATTTAATTTATAATAAAGTTGTTTTTTACAAAATTTATACATTTAAAAAATATTATGCTTTTAAATCGCTCAATTATAGTGAAATGACACGTGATTTGTGATTTATTCTTTGGTGATTAAAAATCACCAATTACTTTAGATATGAAAATGTCGCGTTGCTTATTTTCATTTTTATTTTTTATTTTGTTTTTGTCGGTTTGAAGAAAACGAATCATCTGACCTTGTTCATGTAAACGGAGATGGATGAATCAGAAAACTTATCATAATCGGTTAAAAAAGGAAAGATGCGCTGATGAGTGGCTTTGCTCTTTATATGTGACACCTTCCCCCCTTTTTTGTTTTAATAATATTTTTTTCTTTTTCCAGACTTTCAAAAAATTATTACCCAATGTTCTTTTTCTTAAATGCACTTCCGTATAAAGATGCGCTTTTGTATTCCAAACCTATAGCCAAATTTTTTGACCTGCTTATGAAGGAAGGTGTAGTAAAACCATTTACATCAGTAACAGCAGAAGAAAAAACCTCAGCAGTCATATGTGAGTATAAATATAACGTATTGACAACATGGCTTTTCGCTTTTTTTCTCAGTAGTTGTAAATATTAATTAACAACATTATTGTTACAACAATTTTTATCAACTTAGTGGCGAAACATCACTGGAAGAAGCAGCAAAGCGCCGAAATAAAGAGAAACCTAATGACGGTGCGCGGGGTCTCACAATTATTGGTTAGTATTGTAATCTAGGATTCATGATATGTTTGCTACCTGTAAGTAGATAAATTCTAAATCAAAATTTAAAAATAGGTCGCAAGATTAGAGTTTACGCACTTGCATTTAATCCATATGCATGAATGCTCTCGTGAAGATCTTGTCGATCTGGAACCAGCGTACACGAATACAAGATTTTTGATGAAACGAAAGACGTCAAGGGGGGCTCATCATCAATACGCGTCCACCAAAAAATGCGAAACAGTGGTTGGACGTGTATTCTATTTATCTTAAAGATCGTCGGGATATGTTGGGGAAAGATGAGGGGAGGTTTCAAGGACATTACGTGGCGGAATACACTAATTAGTGGTTGAAGGTGTATATGTTTATCCTTATTTACATAGTATTCCGTCGATAAAATACACATCCAACCAAAAAATGCGAAATAGTGGTTGGATGTGTATTTCTTTTATCCTTATTTACATGTATTATTCCGTCGATAAAATACACATCCAACCAAAAAATGCGAAACAGTGGTTGGATGTGTATTTTGTTTATCCTTATTTACATCATGTAAAATACACATCCAACCAAATAATGGTTGGATGTGTATTTATCCTTATTTACATCATGTAAAAGATACATCCAATCAAATGGTTGGATATATTTTATTTATTTTATTTTATTTTATTTTGTTTACAATATTCCGAATCGAAGAGAAAAAAATTATTTTAGTTTTATTTTTTACTTTGGTTATGGATATTTAAAGATTTAATTTATTCGGGGTTTAATCATTCTGATAATTTTTTTACTTTGGAACGGTAAAGAAATAAAAAATGCGAAATAGTGGTTGGATTGGTAAAGGAATAAAAAAAGAGTGGTCGGTAAAGGAGTAAAAATTGCGAAATAATGGTTGGAATGGTAAAAGGAATAAAAATGAAATAGTGGTTGGATGTGTATCTTATTTACATATTGTATTTGTAAAAAAAAATAAATAAATAAATAAATAAAAAAAAAAGTATAACCATGCGATCAATTACTTATAACATATTAAATTTTGTAGGTTTACTCTATTATGTATTTTCTTGCATAATGAAAAATGGAGCAAGTAATAAATGAAACAAACTATCTGAAAGCTAATGATTACAAATCAATTTATCAATGACAAAAACGAACCTAAAAGATACCTAAAAGATACTTTGGATTGCAAGAGCGGATTTAACTGGGAAGGTACTCTTCAGATCATCATAAAAATATGTTTACCAATGATGTATAATTAATGAAAATATTAATCATTAAAAATTTATTTCCGAAAAATGATTATTGAACCATTGATGTTTAATAATTATAATAAAAAAAATTATTAGAAGATAAAAGAACATATTAGAATATAATTATTAAAGTATGGGGAAACGTCAATAAAAAAATAAAAAAGGAAATATTTGTTAATTTTAAAAAATTTTATCAAAAATTTAATTTTAGAATCCCCCCCTTTTTTTATTAACTCCATATAGCAATATTTAATAATTTCGTTGATTGACAAAAATATGAATTTTAAAGGTAAAGATAAAAAAAAAAAAAAAGTATCTCCACGTTGATCACGTTTATTTTTTTAAATCCTTTTTTTAAAAATTATTTTAAAAAATTTATGTAATACATAAAAAAAAAAAGGAAAATTTTTATTCCGAGTGTTAAAAACCAAGAATTTCGTCAAGAAATTTATTATTTTTATTCGTTCAAAGGAGAAGAAGATGAAGGAGATGAAGGAGATGAAGGAGATGAAAGAGATGAAAGAGACGAGGTTTCGTCAGTTAGGAACCATTCACTAGTGCTCCATACGTATATTTTTTTGGGATCCAACGAGATGACAGTCTGAACCGATTGGGTTTTCTTCTTGATTTCTTTCCTATTGTCACCCGTATCTAGTAAGAAAAAATAAGTGTTACGATTTTGATAAGTCAAGATATACCAATATGATACATTAGTACTTGTATTGATAATTTACCTTTTGGAACAGGAACTTCATTTTTATCAATTTCTTTTCCTTTCTGCTTAGGATCAGGAATCGGAAGATCATTATTAGTTGTATCAGGTGTATCAGATGTTTCTGAACTTAAATGAACGTGGTGGTGGTCGTGGTGGTGGTGGTCATGGTAGTGATGATGGTGGTGGTGGTGCATTTTGGTTAAAATAAATTTTTGTAAGTTTGATGAAAGTTGGTATATGATATTTTTTTTGTCAGAGATTTATTTTTTTTTTGCGAAAAAATTTTTAGAGAAAACAACTTTCGTTTTGGGGAACAGAGTATATATATATAAAAAGCAAATTTGTTATTTTCGCGCCAAAAACAAACGGTAAACGCGTCGCGTTTTTCATCTACATCAAAGAAAAGTTGATTTTCGCGTTTAAGGAGGAAATCAACAAATGGTAATATTCTATAAACAGAAAATGTGGTCGTGATTTTCATCTACATCTCTTACATCACAAAACGTCATCTACATCATTGTCACACTAAAAAGAGTAAATCAACAGATGGGTAATGATGTCAAAAACAGAAAATGTAGTCGCGTTTCAAAGAAAGTTGATTGCCAAAACCAGAAAATGTAGAGACATGTTGCGTTTTCATCTACAACAAAGAAAGGACGCGAAAATAAAAACAATAATATGCCAAATAGATTATTGAATAAAATACTCTCTATTAATATTAATGGCTTTCAAAGGTCGGAATTATTTAACATTTTCTGAATAATACGCAAAGGATTGTAGGTAAAAACATTTTATTGATTGACAACTTTTACTATTTTTAAGTAATAGATATTTGTTTTTTAACTAATGGATCATACTTTGTCTGGGCGCTTATACCTTTCCATTTCCGCTCGTGGATTCCACAATCCATCTCGAAATTTTCGAAGTGCACAAAAAATGAATGTACCGAAAATCATTTCCCATTATTTTATTGTTTTCACCTTTGGGATTAAGAAAAATGCTTCGTAGTTTATCAATTATGCTTTTCATAAAGCAAATGATGAAAATGTGTTTTTTAATCTTTAGAGCAAGCTTAGTAGTGAATTTTAATTTGATCAAATTTTTATCGTTTATATATGTCCAAGTGATCTCGCGATTGAATAATTTCAAATGGATTTATTGGATTTGTATTATAATGAACTATTCAAAATCTTTTTTATTTTTTTTTTTTTTACGATAAAAAATAAATAATTAAATAAATAATTTTTTTTTTTTTTTTTTTTTTTTTTTTTTTTTACAAACTATTTAATAAAATTATATTTACAACGGTGTAACAATGTTTTTACTCATTCTTTTTAATTCTAATGTTACGTTTATAATCATGCAAATAAAATATATGAAGATGATATAATATCCCCACCCGCGAGTCATACGAAAATCGTTTCGTGGTAAATAAAACAGAGCAGAAAATAATGTCAATAATAATCCGATCGATGAAATAAATAATGTAGGATCTATTTCTATATAAACAGGTTCTCCAGATTGTATTGTCGTATATGTTCCGGCAATACCAATCCCAAGAAGGATATCTTAATAAATAAAGATGATATTAGGTTGATTATTCTACAACGACGTGACCTTAAAAGATGTTTGATAAACTTACTTAACATGGGACCACCGAAACATGCGCTCATTGCCATCATTGGAAATCCCATTCGGGCAATAGTAATATTGGCAACAAAGTCACCGAGACTATTACCCTTTAAAATAATGATACAAGTAAGCGTGTGTATATACAATAAAAGAATCGAGATAACATTAAGTACAAACCATTGCAAAAATGGTCAACCCGAGTATAGCGTCACTTAATCCCATTATCAGCCCTATAGCCTAAAATAAAGTATTTATGAAATCCTATCTATATTCGAAATATTTTAATTAAAAAGAATTTTGGTCACTCACCTGAAGCAAACCTACAACTTCGTTTGCTACAAGGAAAATCCAAACCATACCGACACCGAATCCCATAAAACATAGTAATGAATAGAATCTTGGTGGTTTATCATCATGCGTAAATATAATACATGCTGTAGCTGCTACAGTACCTCCGAGAAAAGAATATAAAATAATTGACGAATTATCTCCAACTGAATATAATAGATTAACAAAATTGTAGTATTTATTATTTAATAAATAGCTTTGCTTTTTAAAAAAAAAAGATTATATATAATATAATACTTACAAAATAAAACGGAAGAGACGAATAAAGGTGAAAACACAAACTGAGCAGCAGTCAGCCATCGATTCCACCTAGTTTCCTTGCAGTCTTCATCAGGACTTTCAACAATGACCATATCCGGGTCGTCATCTATCACAATGGCCAATTGTGGACGTAAACAACTTTCCTTTTCAACCTCATTAAAATCTACTTCATCCGATTCTACAACAGGTAGGGTGAGTGTTAGTAACAAATTTGCCGGTGTCGCCATTAAAGTAATAAGTTTTGCGATATATGATTTTTGAGAGAATCCTTCCAAAGTCGGGAATAAAATTACTTGAATTTTATCCCAACAAGAAATGACGGGCGGTGATGGAGAGGATAAGCTGGGAGAGTGTAAGGGAGAGTTTCCAGGAGATGAATGTAATAAACCATCAAGTATAAAATTTGAAGTCTCCAGCGTTAATGGTAAAGGACTAGAACGAGATGATGATCCCTTATCAGGTGAATCTGGTCCATGATCTGGAGTTGGAGGTATCAACATTAGACGCGGTATAGTTAATGCGTCTCCAAGTTTTTGTTTCGACAAAGGAGGTTGAGTTAATGATCTCGATCCACTGCTATGACCACTACCATTAAGGCTATTGGAGTTCATAATAGGTGACTCGGGAATTGTAATTATCCCACCTCCATCACTGGCCCAAGATCTTTTGCGAGAACCGAATATTGGTCTATTAAATGACATTGTCCTGCTTCGTGGACTGTCTGAACGACTATTGTAAAAATCTGTTGAATGACTCCGACCAAATATATCCAGGGCTCTCGCGCTACTATCTAATTTAAGAGAATTAACGACATCCCTAAACTGTAACGTTATAATATAATAAGGTAAACGCATTTTATTTGACTGCAAATCCATTAGATAATTATTTCTTGATTTACCTCGATCGCTCCAAAAAACGAAGGTCTCATTCTACGATGAATTGGTCGTATAGGCCTTGCGGAGGATGAAGAATGATGATGATGTTGATGTTGTTGTTGTTGTTGATCCAACAAATCGTTAGGAGAGAGAAAATATTCACGTGGTTCTGAATTTGTTAAAGGCGTCATCGAAATTGGTGATGCATTACGACCTGTATAATCAGGAATTCTTTCACCTTCTGATAATAACAAATCCGTTTCGACGTATGTATCGTATCCATATGCATCTTGATTTTCTGATGAATTTTATAATCAGTGTAAATACGAGAAAGTAAAAACGAGATAGTTGTATATATTTACCGAATTCTTCTTCAGTTTGTTCTTCCAAATTCTCTGTATCACCATTGTTTAACGATGTTGGGGTATATTCATCTCTTGCTTTTTGTTCCTGCCATATACGTCTTTTTTGATCCTTTACCCACCAAGTTCCTATAACAACCACGCTAACGTAAGTTAAATAGAACAGTACCAAGGTTATGCTTTCCCATAGATGAATTTTTCCATCCGAGATTATAGTAAGTACAAAACTAATTGCCACCAGGAAGAAAATAACATCACGAAGAAAGGGTGCCTTTGTAACGCGGAAAGGTGACACAACAGCCATGGATCCTGCAACAACCGAAGTTATAAAGCTGGCTGCACCGATAAGTTCACCTATGGCTAACGAACCAGATCCAAGGCTTATTGCACTAAAAGTACTAAACAAGTCAGGTGATCCGTTTCCAAAGGCTAAGAAAGTCACGCCCGCCTTTATAGAGATGTTTATCAACAAATATACGCATTAGTCAAAATTAAATGATGTAAAATTAAATTATTTACCATACTTTCGGATAGTTTCAATTTTGATGCAATTGTACTTAAATTAGGACAAAAGAATTCAGAAGCGGCAAGACCAATAAATCCGAACAAGAATAACAACCACAAAAACTGAGTAAATTAAAAAAAAAAGTATTAGATAGCGTTCATCTCGACAAAAACAAATAAATAAATAAATAAACTACAATTAAAGTATACCAATGTCATTAAATACACGTAATGCCATTTTGGTGAATTACAAAAGTAGAATTGTAAATAATCGATTAAACCAGAAGAATAATCTCGACAATGTTTTCGAACAAAATCGCATTTATCTGGATGACTATATATATTATCACACTAATAAAATGCAAAAAGCCTCAATTAATTTATTGCAAATTTGATCCAATTATAAATAATGATAGATCATTAAAATTAAATATTTTTTCTCGTGAACATTATGTTCTTTTAACCTACCTCATTATTGAAACTTGTTCTAGTATCACTATTTTTAATAAAAGTGGAATTCGCCCCAACAGACAGTACGGCAGTCGTTGGTTCCAGTATGTTGCCTTTCCAAATTGAAAAATCCACCGTCTTTCGAAATCTATTTTTGATACCGAACCCAGGGCTCAAGCTGCTATTCTTTTCAGATATTCGTTTTTTCCATAATAAACCGATACCATTAAAGAAAAGTAGCAAACATAAAGATACAAAAAATGTCTTCCGATTTTTGAATATAGTCATAACTGATATAAGTCAAAAAATTTTTTTTTTTTAAATTCCCAACCGTTTAATTACATGATTTTATAGATTAGCGTTAGTAAAAAATTATTTATTTTATATATTTATTTATATGTTCCCCACACCATTGATTACCCTATACGTAGATGATGTAATTTTTACATAATTTATAATCCTTCGCATTGTAGTTACACACGTGCCAGTTTTAACAGATTAAAGATCTTTTCGTAAAAAGGCTTAGCACAGTGATCAACATTATATATAATATAGCTTTCGCATCAAAAAAAAAAAAAAAAAAAAAAAATTTTTTTTTCAGGTTTGTGAAGTAATGAATAATATGTCTTTTTCTTTCTTTCTTATTACGGCTAATGATGCAAAATATGTTCAGAATATTTACATGAAGATTTTTAAAAAAGAGTAACAGTCTCTGAAGCCAAATTTATTTGAGAAATTTATTTTTTGCCTTCTTTCCAAATATTGAATTTCAAAAGAACTAATCAATGTCCTATTTATTTTCACATCGTATATCATAAATTATAGAGATGGAAGAAAATATCTACATTAGAAAAATATATGATTTTTTTTTAAAAAAAATCTCGCAGGATGTTGTTCTCCAAATATGTACTTATGTACTGTAGATCGGTGAACACATCGATAAATGGAATTTAAAATCGCTCCCTATTACGTCCTCGAACTTTTCCCCGAAAAATTATTTTTTGTGAAGATATGCGTTATTATACTGTCTTTATAAGGAGTCGTGATTCTTATGATAAATCGAGATATTCAGCAACTAGTGAATCAAGTATGTGAATTATTATTTATTAAATTTATTAAAAAGAAAATAAAAAATAAAAATAATAATCCGAAATTATTAATTCTTTAGGTGTTTCAAGTGATGATAGTACTTCGGATATCTCTCTTTCGGACAACGAAACACCATTGAAAGATGTCCTAATACCTTCAAATATCTCTCTTTCGGACAACGAAACGCCATTGAAAGATGTCCTAATACCTTCAAATATCTCTCTTTCTAACCACGAAACGCCATTGAAAGATGTCCTAATACCTTCAGATATCTCTCTTTCTAACCACGAAACGCCATTGACAGATGTCCTAATACCTTCAGTTATCTCTCTTTCTAACCACGAAACGCCATTGAAAGATGTCCTAATACCTTCAGGTATCTCTCTTTCTGACAACGAAATGCCAATGAAAGATGTCCTAATACCTTCAGTTATCTCTCTTTCTAACCACGAAACGCCATTGAAGGATGTACTAATACCCTCAAATATCTCTCTTTCTAATCATTGAAAGATGTTCCAATAAGACCCAGAAATATATTTATTAGGGTAAGGTTTAATGATGTAGTCATTATAGAGGCATTAGACAGAGTAAGGCTTTGATCTATATTTTTTTAGGACTTTTTAGTCATAGATTATCAGTTGCATATTTTTGGTCAAATTTTAATAAGGGGATTGTATTTGCATAATTTTGGTCATTATATATATATATATATTTGACTAATTGCATTATATTATATTTATATTTTTGTATTCAAAGAAAATTCCTTTTAAAGAAACAATTTTTTTTTATTTTAATAAAATTTTTTAGATAAAAAACAATTTTGTTTGTTTTATTATATAATTTTTTAAATTTAAGTTGAAAAAATAGTTTTAAAGATTTTAAATATATATATATATTACTTATATTATTATATATTTTAAAAAGTAAAATATATATATAATAAAAAAATTAAATCAATAAAAATAAAGAATAAATTAAAAAAGAATGTGATTCTAATATATAAAATAATAAATATAATATTGATTTAATTCAAATTAATAAAAAAAAAATTAAAATCAAAATAATAAAAAAAATATATAATAACGCAATTAATGTAAAACTTGTATTGAAACATTAAAAAATATATGTATAATGAATATTTATATTTATTTATTAGATATAATAAAAATTTATATGATATAATTATTTATTTTCTATTTTTTATTTATTAATATTAAATTTACTCTAAAATATTATTAGAAAAATACTTTTCTAAAAATTCTTCTTTAAAATTTTGATCTTTATAATATATAAAATATATTTAATAATTAATTTACAATATATTTCTTTATGATAAATAAAAATAATTATATTAATTATAATTATTATTAATAAAATTTATAATTATATCAAATTATATCATTATATATATCAATTATAATTTAAAATTTTAATTTATATCAAAGTATAATCTGAATTTAATCAGAAATCTATGGATTATTCTTATTAATAAAGTATTAAAAAATGTTTTAAAAAAAATATCAGTATTTATTAATTTTTGTAAATTTATAAGTAATGTTACTAAAAGAAAAATAAAATAAAAATGCAAAAAAATTATAAAATATAATAAAAAATTTACAAGTTTTTTTATAAAAATTTAATTTAATAATTTTTATTAAAATTTAGAAGTCAGAATAATTCAATTTATTTAATTAATAATTTTTAATTTAACTATTATTTTTATTATGCTTTATTTTATAGATAATTAAAAAATAATAGTAAAGATTATTTAATTATTCTATACTAGTTGAAATCAAAAAAATCAAACATGCAAAAAATTGGCCTAAATCAGCTTAAATTTGGCAAATTATCAAAAAATCAGCCTAGTCAATTAGCATACACTAGAAATTGATCAAGAATCAGCTAAAATTTAACCTATTTTATTTATAGCTAATTGTCATACTTATTTGCTGATTGATATACATCAAAAATCAATTAAAATTTGACTTATCTTATTTATAGCCGATTGACGTCTGATTTACATCTGATTGATATACATTAAAAATCAGCTAAAATTCAATCTATCTTATTTATAGCTGATTTATATCTGATTAGCATACATTAGAAATCAGTCAAGAATCAGCTAAAATTCAATCTATCATATTTATAGCCAATTGATGTTTAATTAAGGTAAATACAAACCTTCGCTAAAAGTCTTCAAATGTTATCTTTCAGGCTTTTTTGTACTAATTACATTATGTGACTGTATAAAATTGTGGCTATATAATGTTCTGGCCATTGTTTACTTAAATCAAACCAAATAAATACATATTTGTTTGTTTATTTTGATTTTAGTTCAAAATAAAATTTTATCTTTTTAAAACAACAAAAATGTCTAAAGAATTAATAATAGAATAACTCAGTAGCATAATTTTTTGCCGTCAACATGATGATAATTATTAAACTATTGTTGTAACTATCTATTGAGAATCTATGAGTTGAAATTAAAAAGAGTATCTGTGAAAGGAAAAAATTGCCTTCTAATCTTGCTTAACTCAATCAACATGTTATAAGGATATAGAAACAATTTTTGATACAAAATATCGAAAATTTAGTTGATAGTATGCTACAGCAAACTTAGACTATGATTGAAGCAAATGGAGGCCTGACCAAGTACTAATTATTTAATACTAAATATGTAGCATATCATACTTTAATAAATATATTAATAAATATTTTTTAATAAAATTTAAAAATTCCAAGTTTTATATTGAGCTAAAAAATATCTGGAGACTTTTAGCAAAGTCTATAGATAAACTATATAATATAGTTAGCTAAACTGTACTGTATAGTAAAAAATCAAATAATATTCGTATATTACAGTTTAATACTATAAATAAGCACTGTACTGTATTGTATAAACTTTTGTACAAATTAATATTATACAACAGCATATGATTTGCTAAAATCACATAAATATATAATAAAATTTTTTAATTTCTAATATATGATCATACTTGAATAAAAAAATTAAAACTGTTATTATTTATGAATATATTACATTTTATCATAATTTATAAATTCTTTCTCTTTGCATAACTTATTTCTTTATCCTTTAATATTTATTAGATAAAACCTATACAACTGATAATATAAATATTTAAATATAATCAATAAAAAAAAACATTTTTATTATTCAATTATATTAATCAATAATAAAAACATGCTCTTTTAATTCATACAATAAACCAAATTACATTATTAATAAATTAATAATATTTTGAATTACTAATATTTCATGAAAAAAAAATTGAATTTAAAGTATAATTCTATAAAATTCACAGACCTAACATTCGATTTCGCTTTTTAATTAACATGATTTCCCTCTCAAGTTCATCATTTTTTTGTTTTGAATATTTAACAATTCTTATTTTAAAATATTTCTTTTTTTTGTTAATCAAAATGTGAATCTTCGTCTACATCAATAATTTCAATTGCATTTTTTTTATTATGACTACTTTTTTGTTTTTTTACTATTCTTGAAGATATACTTGATAAAGAAGATTGTTTTTTTATGGCTTTTTCTAAAATAATTTAATTTAATATTTATCTTAAAGTAATTCTTAAAGCATAAATCTTATAAAATTATTTTATTATTAGGCCTCTTCAATTACAGATAAAATCTTAACTTACTGGTTCTATTTAATTTTTTTTTTGAAAAATAATAGCTTTTAAAATACTTGCAAAAGATTCTTAGTTAAACTAAAAAATCTAAAGAAAGAGTTACTATTTTATTAACTTATAATATTACAGAAATAATAAACTTAAGCCATTATTTATATAAGTATAAAATCTTAACTTCTTTATGATGTATCTATTGAAAATTATTCAAATTATTACTGGAATAAGATTACATGAATCAAATAATCAATTTGGTGATTATTTAAAAAATTTAATTAGTTTAATATATGCTAAAGAAAAAAAAATATTCTTTTATTAGTAAATAATATTCCTATTTATAGAAAAGAAAAGAAATTTCTTCTTTATTAATATTAAATATTTTACTTATCATCAATATCATATTACTTTTACAACCTTTAGATTCAAGAATGATGAATTTATTTAAAGCTAAATATTGAAAACTTTTAATAAAAATAGAATTGAAATATATAATATAGCAAAAGGATTAAATAATAAAACAACTCCAGTTATAATTTGTAATATAATTGATTTTGTTTTAAAAGCATTAGAACCAAATTGAATCTATTACAATTAAAAACTGATAGAAGAAAATTGAAATTTTTCTATCTAAAGATGATGAATCAGATATGCTATTACCAAAATAATTGAAGAAGATTAAAGAGATTTAGATGCAATGATCTTTTATCTGCAGCTGATTTATATACTGTAGATGCTGATAAATTAAATAATGATATTTTTTTTGTTAGATGATGAAAATGTTGTTGAATCCTAATCAAATGATTTGCAAGAAAATATACTGTTTCTTTAACAAAAGATTGATTAATATAGAAAATCTGATTAATTTTCATAATTTTTCACTAGAAAATTTTGAAGTAACTAATGAAGAATTGAAAATTTTAAAGAGTATTAGACGTAAAATATTGAGATATAAATTGGAATCTTCAATCCAATTAAATATAAATGAGTTTATTAGTTTCGATTAGATTTTTTTTTGTTCTCAAATTTTACAAATAATTACAATAAAGAAACAATATAGCATACAATAAGCAAATAATAAATTGTAAAATTCGATATAATAGACTTTTATTTTTTTACTATTTAAATAATAACGAATCAAATCACTAAAACAACAGGTTTGTTATATCAAGTTCTAACTGTATAATAATGATGATAATGAATCCATGCATAATATGATCCAAGTTCAAGCATCAGCCACACTCTACCTTTTTAGAAGAATGATTCCAGGAGATACAATGTTTGCGGAAGGATTCGAGGTATACCGTAATGCAGTAGATAAAGATTATATCTCGAAAAAAAAAAAATTAGTATGATATAATGAACGGATATAAACAAGTCTTCATGACATTCAAGTTAATTTAAAGATCCGTAAATTTCTTATTCAATGTACTTTATTTTTTCCTATTATGAAAAAAATAAACTTTTTATTTCTTTTCTTCTCTTTTTCTCACGAGTTTTATTTATCAAGCTAAAAATGAGATAATATTAAAAATTTGCAGGGTTAAAAAATGTGCCTCCTTTCCTGTTTTGGAGTTATATTACAGTATAATTTTTAATTTTCTAAATTAAATTCATTTTAATTATCGATATATTAATTTTATTAATATCTCTTTTTCACAAGTGTTTTCGGTCCCATTCTCGTTTCAATTATCGCGATTATTATTGGTACTTATTAAAGGTTAAAATTTTCTCCACATTGCAAATCGAATACAAATTAAACGAAAAAAATTTTTTCTTTTTTTTTAAAGCCTCCCCCCCGAAATTTATTTTAAATGTTATCACTGACCTTTATACAAATAAAATTTCTCTCACCTTTTCTCACTTTTTTTCCTTTCTTTTCTTCATTATTTGAATTACGATGATTTTCAAATCACAATTTCCAGACATTGAAATTCCTTTTCAAGGAATTTATCAATACGTTACAAGTAATGAAAAAGGAATTAAAGATGATAAATCAATCTTCATCGATGGTATAAGTGGTAAAAAATTAACTTATGGAGGATTAAAGAGTTCTTCCAAGAAATTTGCAGCTGGATTAATAGATAAAGCAGGATTTAAACGTGGCGACGTTTTAGCAATTTACTCTCCAAACCAGGTATGAAGGGATACGCAGTTTAATAATTGTAAGAAGAAAAAAAATTAAAAATCATTCATTATAACCTTTTAGATCGATTACTCGATTGTTTTGCTTGGAGCAATCGCGGCAGGAGGAAGAGTGTCGCCTGCTAATCCCATGTATACAATTGAAGAATTTACTCATCAATTAAAGGATTCGGGAGCAAAATATATTGCCGTGTTTCCACCATTTCTCTCAAACGCAATTAAAGCCGCAGCCGCTGCGAATATTCCTGAGTCAAATATATTTCTATTTGGCGATAAAGAAATTGATGGAGTCAAGCCTTATTCCTCCCTCATCTCTGAAAGAGAAGTTATTCCAGTTGAATATTCATCAGAAGAAGCAAAGTCAACTACGGCATACCTATGTTTTAGTTCTGGCACAACGGGAAGGAGTAAAGGAGTCGAAACAACTCATGCTAATATTGTCGCTAATGTACATCAAATTTATAATATTGATGATGATATGAATGATGAAATTATTTACCTTGCCGCATTACCTTTCTTTCATATTTATGGATTATTGCTTTTCATCCATATAGCCATTTTTACGGGTGCGACAGTCATTGTGATGCCAAAATTTGATTTGACAACATTCTGCAGATTAATTCAAGAGTATAAGGTTAATACAATTCCAATCGTACCTCCAATCATTGTATTATTAGTTAAAAATCCAATTGCAAGAAAATATGATTTATCAAGTTTAAAATTTTGTCTAAGTGGTGCTGCTCCTTTAAGCAAAGAATTAGCCGAAGAATTCACCAAAATATTTAATATACCAATTAAACAAGGTTATGGTTTAACTGAAACTCCCGTAACACATATTTCTAAAACTGATCTTGTCGTTCCTGGTTCTGTTGGAAGACTCGTTTCAAATATGGAATGCAAGTTCCTATCCGAAAAAGGAGAGGAACTTGGATATAATCAACCTGGTGAACTTTGTATTCGTGGTCCAACAGTTATGAAAGGTTACCTTAATAACAAAACGGCCACTAATGCGTGTATTGATCCTGAAGGATGGTTCCATACCGGTGATATAGCAATGATCAATGAATTAGGTGAATGATGAATGATGTTACTACTCTGTCTTCGGTAATGTATTATATATTCTCAAATTTTTTTTTTTTTTGTCTCATAATAGGAAACTTTTATATCGTCGAACGTGTTAAAGAGTTAATCAAGTACAAGGTAAAAATCATACGTTTGATTTAGTTCATGTTTTACCTAATTATCATGTTAAAATTATTAAATTGTCCTCATAGGGTTTCCAAATTCCACCTGCCGAATTGGAATCAATCTTGCTTACCCATCCATCAATCGCTGATGCTGCCGTAATTGGTGTTTACTCCAAGCAAGAAGCTACCGAATATCCGGCTGCTTACGTCGTATTACAACAAAATATTCATAAATCAGATCAAGTAAAAGAAGAAATTAAAGATTTTATTGCTCAAAAAGTTGCTCCTTTTAAGAAATTACGTGGTGGTGTTTTATTCATTGATCAAATTCCTAAAAGTGAATCTGGTAAAATTTTAAGAAGGTTATTAAGAGAAAGAATCAAGTCCGAACATCCTTTAAATCAGTTTCCTGCTCACAAGTTATGAGATATGATCAATCATATGATCCATAACTAGATTTTATTGCAAAGTTTTATCGTTACTTTGCTTGATTTTTTAATTTCGTCAGTTTTTAAAAATTAAATGAAATTTCAAAATTTTGAATTTTTCATGACGATCAAAGAATATTTTATGTAGGATTATGATAAAAAAAAAAAAGGAATTAACTAAATAAACAACGTTCTCGTTATTCTATAATCAAATAAATAATTTTATTGTAAACGTCAAACGTATCTATGAATTCAAAATCTCTAACTTTTGTACAATAATAAAAGTAGAATAGATCCAACATAATTTAGTTGGTACCATTCTACGCGTATTAATATAATCTAATTGTTCAATTCTAATTAATATAGTACACTTAGAACTTTTGTTCAAGTGGTTGAATGATGTGTTTGGGAAAACGTACACTAAACATATAATTGTGTCGCCTGAAAAGAAAAATGAAATGGTTAGAATTTTTCAATAGTTAATTTTTGAAATAACAAAAAAAAAAAAAAAAGTTCTATATAAATACTTTTCTAGAATAATTTCCCATGTGTCAGGATTAATTCTAACAGGGGTTTGTCGAACTCGATCATCAAACATCACATGATAACCTCGTTCTGATAAAACATCCATAATCATATCCACAAGGTGCTGATTCTCTAAATCTTGTGAATTCCTAAAAGAATTATAAGTTTTAGTTTTAAGAAACTTTTTTTTTTTTTTTTTTCACAATTATATGAAAAGTTAATTCTTTTTTTACGCACGTTCGAACAAGCGTCTGCCCACTAATTGCATGCCTTTGAACCAAAGGAATAACATTTTCATCCACGAATTCTATAGCCTTTGAAAATGATTCTGGATCAGTTTCTTGATAATGTTCAAGCCGGCTGATCAAATCTTGCCTTGCATGTATACTAATCTTTGTTGCTAAAGGAATATGTGCAATTGCATCATATGTCTTATGATCTATAATAAAATTGAAAATTAAAATTAAATCGACCTTTATTGGAGAAAACACTATCGTTTTTGAAAAATATAATCATACCAAGTTCTAACGAACTCTGATACTCAAATTCTTTTATAATCACTTGCATCACCTCCTCAATCGTTCCAACAGCGTTAATCAAATCTGAATTAATTTAATGAATTAAAGAATGAAAATTTCCTAAATTTAGGTTAGAACGAAACTTTGGACTTACGAAAGGGAAAGATCTTTCCAAGTTTCATTAAGGCGCCAAAGTGCTCTTTAAATATTTTATAACGAGCCCTGATCAACTGTGATAAATTTCGAATCAGTTAATCAGAAAAGTTGAAAACAAATTTTAACCTCGGAAAATAAAAAAATTACCATTTCATCGTAATCGGTAACTCGTTCCTCAATTAATTCGCCTTGATGAGTTCGCCGAACCATGGCGTTGTGATCTTTGATTTGTTTTCCGCGCATTAATTGACGTTCTACTGATACATCCTCATCTACATATAAGACGCAGATTCGGAATGTAGGTCGTCTAAATCCATGGTTGCAAATTAATTAGTAAGTAACAAATTAAAAAAAAAAATGGCGTTAATGAGTTACTCACGGGAATTTCTCTCTCAATGGTGTCTCCCAAAATTCCCGGCGTAACTCATGCATTTTGTCATACAAGAGTTTTAAACATTCGACTTGAATTTCCGTTCTGGGAAATCCGTCAACGAGGCATCCCACCGTTGGATCACAATTGAGAAGCGCTCGAAACAAACTCTCGAGGACTTTTCCATCGCCTGAAGATGAATAGATAAGAATTTTAACTAATATCAAATATATTAAAATAATTCTAATTCATAATAATATAATCACTCACTGATCATTTGCCCTTTATTGATTAACTCTTGACATTCTGGGGATGTTAAAAGCTTTGACATACTTATGGCCGGATTTGTGATTCCACGTGTTTTCAATAATGAATTTGTGTGCGTGCCCTATTAATACATAATAATCTTTAAATTTAACTCGGAAAAAAAGAGTAAAATCCGATCGGATTTACCTTCCCTGATCCTGGCGCTCCCATCAACCATATAATCTCCCTCGGTAGACTGATTTTAAATACAATTCGATAAACTTGATAATGCACGCGTTAATTGATAATTGACAAAAGTTACACTCACAAGAGGTTTTCCCGTCCGTATGCATCCTCGACATTCTTCCAAGATTGGTTGAAAATCAACTTTGCATTCTTAATTTCATTTACTCTAAATCAATTGAATCATTAAGATCAGCAAAAGTCTCATTCATTTTTAAATCATTTCTTTATACCTTTGGACTTCTTCAGTTTCCTGAGAAGAAATTATCTCGGAAGCAATTTCCGGTGAACTTACTGGTCCTGAAGGGGGGAAAAAATAATTTAAAATGCAAATAGATTTTCAAAACAAAAATATTTTCACATTACTTTGCAAAGGAAATGTTGGAATTGGCAAATATCTGGCAGAATTTGCATGAGGTTGAAATTTTGAAAATTCCGCGCTTGGAGGAAATGCGCTAAGACTTGACGTTGAAATTCCTCGGGAAATTTCAAAATTTTGAATTTTTATGCATGAAATGTTTTCAAAGACGTTCAAAAAATTTGAATTTTTGTTTTTGTGAAGAAAGGATTTCGGATTTGAAGTTGAAAATATTGAGAATTTTGAATAAAGACAATGATTTTTTGGAATGGAAATTGTTTTCTGAACGGAAAAAAAATTTTTCGTCCTCGAAGCATTTTGAAAAGTTCTTGTTTTAATGGGTGACAAAAAAATCGTCATTTTTGGTTTGGAAACTTTTAAAGATCGAACTCAAAAATTTTCAAAATTCGACTTTACGAGGGTTGAAAAATTTGAAAAAGACGACAAAATGAAAGAAAGACTTGAGATTTTTCTGCAAAACGAATTTCAAAGCTTTTTTATTTGAAGAAATTTTTGAAAAGATTTCAATACATGAAACGTTCACGTACATGCAAAATGCACTCATTGCACCATTAAAATTTTGATAATGTGTGCAAAAAAAAAAACATAGCTAATCTATTTTATTACGTAATCGAACATTTTGAAATGTGATTATCCAATTATATAGAATTATTTTTTGCCTCCTGTCGCAATTTGTCGCAATTCTTGTTTGAAAATTTTCGCTTCCTTTGGCATTTTCTTGCCTTTTTAATTCTTGATTCCATTGTGGAAGTTGTTGAGGATTGATTGATACATTAAGTGGATCATCATAATAAATTTTTTAAAAAAGTATGTCCTTGAAACACATCAATGCTAAGTCGGATTCATTTCCATACGTATTTAAGATGGATTCATATATTTTTGGTGAGAGGATAAGGGATTTCCTTCTATGATCTAAATTCGAAATATCATCTACATTTTCGTTATTAAAATGTTGCTCAACAATTTGAAGGATTCTAATAATGATATTGTCGAAGCAAGAGATTGGTAATAATGACATTTGCTATTGAGCTTCTCCACCTTCGAGTAAATTTATAAATAAATCATCAAGGCAAATTGTTTGTCCATGTTTCTCAGAGTTGTTGTTGTGCCAAGCGAACTCCTTCAGCACCGAATTGATTCAGTCGTCCTTATAAAAGTGGGGCCCTACCTTTGGGTTTTTCGGTTTTAGTATATGGATCTTTTTGCGATGTTAGACCATTCTTTGCAGCTTAAATATGGTTATGTAATCGTAGTCATATTTAAAAAATCGACTTTAAATAGATTTTTCGAGAACAAATGGTATTTTTTGATTTTTTGGTTACATTTTTATTTTATCAAGTTGGTATGAAAAAGGTGATTTGAATTTCTGACCATTTATATATAAAAAAAGGAGGGTCTTGACGGGTATAAAAATTTCAAGCACTCCTTTTTTGTCTTGGCATTAGAAATTTATTTTTACAAGTTCGTGGGCGTAACTCCACATGCAGATTTCATTTGATTTAGTTCAGCCATTCAAGTTATCGTAAAATTTTTTATTCATTGTTTTATGATTTTAGAACTTTCTGAAAGAAAATTAAATGACGCTATTTCATTTATATTGGGTTTAGGGAAAAAGTTTAATGCCTCATTTAATAAATTGATAGTGTCATGAGGTAGTACGTAAAATCAAATCTTAAAAAAAGCCATTGGCCTTTGTTGGGATTCATGACATATATTTAAAAGTTTATATAAAAAAGATATATATTTATCTTTAATAATTGATATAATCATGACGTTTTAATTTAATCGTTAACTTTTTAATGCATTATTCTTTTTAAGATGTATTTCTAAATAAAAAGTAATCCTTTGGCCGGAATTATGACATTAAGAAATTAATCATGTGACGAATAAGGGGCCTGACAAATAGGATTTTGAAAATTCCAAGTTCTCAGAATATTTAATAAAAACTATTATGTGATTACAAAATTTTACTAGTTTTGTCTAAATTATAGTGCTAGCTTGCATAATTTTAAAATATTTTAAAATAATCTTTGATATTATATCAAGTTACAAATCAAAAATAAAAAAATAAAAAAGGAAAATAATTAAAGTAATACATAGTAAAATTAGGGATGCATATAAATTTTGAAATAAACTGATCAAATTATATTTAGCAGTTAATATATATATATTTAATATTATATTTAATATATTAACTATATCAACTATATTAATATATTAAACATATTTAATATATTGTAGAGTTAAGAATTTATGAAAATATTATCATATGACATTTTAAAGAAAAGAAAAGAATATAATGGATAAATATTTAACCAAAGACTAAATAACTTCTAAAAAAGAATTCTTAAAGAGGAAATATGATATCATAAAATTAGCTTAGAAATAACAGAATTAACAGATTAATTAGAATAGAAATAACAAAAATATTAAAAAATAATAATAATAGAAAATAATAGTAATTATTGATAATTCAGAAAAAATTTAATAGAAATTATAGAAAATTATAGAAATATTCAAAAGAAAAATAGGAAAATACAGAAATTATAGATAAAAATAGAAAATTAAGAAATCATAGAATTTACAAAAATAGAAAATCAAAAAATTATAAGATTTATAGAAATGGTCTACATTAATCTATATATTTAAAAACGTTAATGATCACAAGATATCATATTTAGATTAGCCTATATAAATTAATCATAGAATTATAAAATATTACACAAACCCAAAAAGGCAATTTTATCTCATATTAAAATTTAAGTTTGAGTTTTAAAATTGGTTATACAAGTTTTCTTTTCAGATAATTATGTAACGTCATGTGATTTATAAGAAATTATATTTTCATAGTAAAATAAATCTATCTATATATTTAAAAGAGAAAATTTAACCTAGACTCTAAGTTTAAGTTATTATCTTAGATCCTATGTATAAATAAATATTTTTAATGTATTTATCACGTGATAAGTATAGTTGTGATCTAGGATAATATAAGGTCCTCTGATTATACTGTTAAGAACTTTATTGTATACTTTTAAGAAATTTTAAAAAGTTTTATTATACAATTACACTAATTTCTTTTTTAGATAATTATATATTGTAACTTTTATTGTACATTTAATAGTCTACTAAAAAAAGATTTATCTTACATCTACTTAATGACAAAAATGATTTGTTGTACACTTATTTAATAATAAAATAATTTTTCATTGTACACTTTTAACCAAGTTAAAAAATTATTATTATACATTTATCATATATTTTCTATCATAGATCGAATAATAACCTTAATGATACTATATGATGTATTATGTATTATATATTATCTTCTAATAAAATTTAACATTAAAACTAAATTTATTTATTATATGTATAAAAAAATTTTATCTTTATTATTATTAAAGAAATAATATTAATAGTATTGAAAATAACATTATAAATGCTAAAAAAATTATAAAAAATACAAAAAAACAGGATAAAAATGATGATAATAGTTATTAGTAAAATAATCGTATATATTACAATTTAATTTAATAATTTAAATAATATATATTACTTAAATTTTAAATAAATATGGAATTTTTATCATACAATATAAATTTTTTTTTGAAAATATCATACATTTAAACTAAATTTTAATGTACACTTTATTTATTTCTCAGATATGGTTTATTATATAAAATTTTTTGTAATCAGGAATCCTAATAATATCTTGAATCCAGAATACATTTTAAGGATGCCATATTTAAAAATATTGACAGTTACAAGGTGTTATGTTTAGATTTAACCTATATAAATTAATCATAAAATTATGAAACATTATATAAACTTAAAAAGGTAATTTTGTCTTCTAGTAAAATTTGAGTTCTAGTTTCAAAATCAGGTATATAAGTTTTTTTTCAGATAATTGTGTAATATTACGTGATTTATAAGAAATTATAGTTTTATAGTAAAACAATTGTATTTAAAATTATTAATTATTGATATGTAGTATCGATATCTGAAGTGTAATCAATTGTTAATATAAATAATAGGTGTTTACTAGTTTTATATAAAAAAAATAGATTTTAATTATATAAAAGGATGATTCTTTTAATCTCTTATTACCTTAATAATAAATAATTAAAATTCATAATATTCCTAATGAGTTGAGTCAAGTTGAGTTTTAAGAAAAAATTATCTTACATACTTTTAATTTAAAGTATTTATTTATTATGTGTAACTAAAATTTACAATTATGCATAATTATGTGAATCAAATATGCAAATTTATGCAAGTCATTTTTAAAACTTTAAAAATTCATTCTTTTAATAATAAACAAACATTTATATTTGACAGTGAATACAAAAATATATTAATTGCCAATTTAGAAGTCAACGAGATATTATTATATAATATAAATTAACGCAGATCATTTCAAAAATCCTATATATAAAGATTTAGACCAATATGTAATATCTTAATTTTAACTATGAAATACAAAAAAAATTAGATAAATAACATGATTAATACTACGTGGTTTTATTTGTATAAGCCACTGGATTGAGAGATTTGCTATTGTGAAGTTTACCTTGTATGCAAGTGACATTTACTACTTTGCGATAAGCATCATGTGAAAATAATGAGCTGGCAATTATGAATACAAGACAAGGTTTTAACTAGAATTTCATATTTTATTTACTTTATTGATATTACTAAACTATTTGAAACCCTTATGATTCAGTTTCTAACTCATTTTCTGTTACTTTTGTTTAAAAACACAAGTATATAAACCTATCCAATTTTGTATAGTATTAACTTTTAGAATATCCTTCTCCTCTAACTCTTCAGCTTCAACATATTTCAAAAGTTCATCATGCATGGTTTGTGCGTTCATTCTATCCTGACGTCGCTGATTTTCTAATAAAAAAAATTGTTCTAACATAGCTTTGACATTTTTTTTAATCCTAATACCACTTCCTTTGATGCCTAATTTTTGGTTGTCTTTTAATATCCACCCTTTAGGTAGTAGAAATATTATGTTTATTATATTATTTTATAAGAAAATTATAATACAATAACTATAATAAAACAACTGTAAGCAATATTTATTGGATTTTATAATTACTTTAGAATTGCTCAGTGGATGTAAATTGGTCTAAATTTATAATATAGAAAATGTTATTATTATTTGATGATTCATAATTACTATTTATTACTTACCAGTTTCTAGTATTTCTGTGCCTTCTTTATATTGATCCAATCGTCTGAATTAGAATTAGAGACTGCATTAAAAAATAAAATTGATAAGTTTGAAATTTTAATACCTTCTATTTCGTTATCATCTTCAACTAATATATTATAATATAACATTAGATTTGTCATTTGTGTACAAAGATTTATTTAACCAATTATATGACAATACTTACCAGTTCTTTATTTATTGAAATTGTTCATGCTGATTCAGGTATTGTATGCTCTGATACATTTAGTTGAAGACGATGAATTGGAGTATTCTAAAGGTTTATCACATATGCTAGAGTAAAATTAATCTATTTTCCAATATGAGGTAGTGAGCGTGCATGAATATATTCACTATATTTACCCTCTACTGGCCATTCCTAATAGTATAGTTTTGAAATTCCTTTTATTGTTTTGATTTTAGCCTTTTTTGTTTTTTGTTACTAACTTTAGTTTCTGCTTTCTCACTAACTAAATTATTATGATCTGGCTCTATATTTGCTACTGTAATACCAAATAAACCCTTAACAGCTTTAGTTATATCATTTTCTGTTTCTAAATCAAATCCAATTCATATATATTACTTGATTGCATGTGTTACCTTGAAAGTATGTTAGAATATATATTTATTACTATCTTTATACAAAAATGAAAGAATACTAACTGATGTATGATGTGAATTAATGGTTGTTTTTGCTTCTCCAGATTTTAAAAATAACTAATTACGAATTTCAATATTATACCATTTATGCTAGTGTCCTATTATGGTTATAAGTTTAGAATTGTGATAGTGAGATCTGTTATCAGATATTATTCTGATCTATTTAGGTTTATTATCCATTGTCTCAAATACAGCTTCAAATACGAATACTGAAAACTAAACATTTTGCTTGATATCCATTGACCAGTGATCATATGCTCATACATCTAACTCATTTTCACATTTTTTAGATTGTATGTAACGTCTAATCACGTTTTCTAAAAAATCTTATTTTATCTCATATGCAGATTTAGGTAATACGCGCATTTTATAATCTGCAATGAATAGTATTCTATTGGAATCTAACTCAGATAATGCTGCTTTGAATTGGACATTTAGATAAACTTTACATGTTTGGTGTAAAAGGTAGTATAATAATTTTTCTTTATTAGTCTGAAGCATAGCGAAAGATTATATAATTCTATATGCTATTTGATTCAAATATCTGCATTCTCCCGCTCAATAATTGAGTTGATTAGCACTAGAGTTCCGAATGAGTCGAGTTGAGTCGAGTTTAAAGACCAACTCTATTTGACTCATTTTTTTCGAGTCGAGTCGAGTCAAATTTATTTTATAAAATCT